ATGTTTCGCTTATATCCATATCACATGCAACAGAACACCTTTGGCGTGTCTGTGGAGGGATTTCCTTCAGTGGAAGTGGAAGTTCTAAGAAGATCATGGAACGGAAATGAATGGGGGACACTGCAAGCCATGCCTCACAAGATGGTCTTCATCTTAAAGGGTCTGCAGGATAAGAGCATCTTTTTGTTTAGGGGTAGAATTTGACATGATACAGAGCAAAAAATAACACTTCTTTCCATATAAAGCAGCCAACAGAACATATTTGTACTAAAGAAATATACATAATGTTATTGATTTACATAGTTAATTTTAACACAGCTTTAGTTCATTTTTACTGCATACTTCTGTTTCCTTAGTACAGGCTATTAGCTGGTAGGAATAACAGTGTTCAAATAAATGTATTGCAAGTCTGCTATTAAATAATTGCTCCCTCAGCTCATTTCTTGACTTGAATTGCATTGTGACACGTCCCAAGGTCATTTGGTTACTCTGAATCTCTTTTTAATATTGATTTGACTTGCATTTCCGAAAAGTGCATGATTATCTGCAGTCACAGGTTTCTGCACAAAATGGATGCGTTGGATATGAGATACTGCAGCCTCTGGGCTGGAGTGTCAAAAGCTGTTTGTGGGCTCCACGTTCTAGACCTCCATTCTCTTTGCTCTCCTGTGACATACTGCAGCCTCTGGGCTGGAGTGTTGAAAGCTGCTTGTGGGTTCTAGACCTCCATTCTCTTTGCTCTCCTTTTCAGGTCATATTGTAGCTCTTGCAAGCAATGATGGAACTGTGAAGACTCTCGAACTCAAATCAGGGCATCTTTCCAGCTTGGTGGGCCATGAAGACGAAGTCCAGAGCGTCATCTTTGATCACAAGGCAGAACATCTGGTATCAGGTGGTTCCGATGGCACAGTTCGAATCTGGAACTGAGACGCTGATCCACCGCTGAGTGGAATCTCACAGAAATGGTTTGACAACCTCCTAGCAAGGGATGTGGATTTGGAAAGAGAGAAAAAAAAGAATTTGCCTTCAACAACCGAGATAGAACAATTGAATGGGATAAAATGTTTCTGTATCACACTTAAATAAAGAAAAAATAACTTCTTTTTTTGCCTGTTTATTTGTCCATAAAGAAAGTATGAAAGAAACTCCCATTTGGCATATTCTTGGGAAAATGGCTTTACAATGACGCCTAATGACAGAGGAGATGAATTGCAGGGGCGCACTTTTGTTTCAAGGTAAGACAAGCAGAAACCATAATAGAAAATTTATCTTAAAAAAAAAAGTCATCTGTTTCAACTTGGTTCTAGCTTATGGAAAGATCTGCAGTGTGTGTACACACTTTCTGCCCACAGGGAGACACAGACAGGCAGTGGGTGTGTGTTTTCCTGAAGTGATTCCGAATGATGGCCAAATAGGAATAAGCAAGTTTGGGAGCCATGCCTCCTGGCCGGTTCCCCTGGGCTGGATCACTCTGTGACTGCAGCGAGCTTCTGTCTTCTCGCGGCCCCCCTTCCTGAAGAAGGCAGCCCTGCGGTGTGTGATCTGCTGTCCCCGTCTGGACATCATCGGCGGCAGCCTTGTCTGTTGTTGACTGAAAGGTGCACGTTTGTGAATTCATCGGCGCCGGGGCTGGAGCCCCCTCTCCGAAGGCGCCCGAGGGTGTCGGCGCGGCCCCGCCGAGAGAGAGAGAGAGCGAGCGAGCGAGCGAGCGAGCGCCGACCGGCCGGTTTTGCCTCCTCCGTCCGCCCGCCCGACGCAGACTGCTGGCCGCTGTCCGCGGTGCTGAAAGGGGGTCCCGGCGGCTGGACGGAATGGGCACCGCCGCCGCCGCTCTCCAGGGTGCTGAACCCCGCCGAAAGTTAGTCCCGCGCGCATCCGCCGCCAGCCTTCCTTTTGGGCAGAGCTGCCTTCCGGAGAGCCACAAGGCAGGATGGTGCTCCTGCTGCTGCTGCTGCTGACTGCATTCCGGTCTGGATTGGCTGCGAGCTCCGGCGTGCTGCTGCCGCCGCTGCCGTGCCTGGAACGGGAAGCCTAGCACATTCCCCACCCTGGCGTGCCTTTCTGCAGACATACGACAGCCTGCCGCGATCGGTTGGTTTTGGGGTTGAAGTGAACGCTGGACCCGAGGATTTAAGGGGAGAACAGACCAAGCGAGCAACCATGAGTGTGTCTTTGGAGTGTGGCTTGATGCCAGGCGGCCTCGCCTCTGGATCCTTCTACGGTTGCTTGCTCTGAATTCTGAGCACCCGGGGCCAAACGGCTGAAGTCCCCCTGGTGTGCCTGCCGGGTGGCTTCTGTGCCATGGGAACCATGGGGGTGGGGGGGAAGGGGTTTTCCATCATCATCCCTTGGAAATGTAACTAAGGAGACTTGCTGTTGCTGATCCCTTGCAGCAATGTGGCAGGCCAGTGACCCTTCCCAGCTCTCACCCTGACAAGGTAAGCGTGCATTTCCCAAGGGGGATTTGCTCTTTCGGGAGTAAGTGATGCAGACACCAGCTTAAAATGTCTTGCAGTAAAAGAAATAGTATGATAAAGTTTAAGTGTACACCAAGAACTCCCGAGAGCTTATTTACATGTGGGATTCTTTATCAGCAGGTCGAATTTTCAGTCTGTTCCATTTTCTTCTGTCAGATTGAAGCATAATTAAGTTACAGTAAAGCATCAAGGATGACAAGGTGTTGGCAATGTTAATGATTTAATTATTTGTGAAAGCTGGCTGCTTTTTTTTAAACCCTTGTACCAGACTTGGGTTGTTTCATGCCGTGCTAGTTACAAATCACTTCTAAAAAACCTGATCATTTTGTAAAGTTTGTGCAGCTTTTAAGCTTAGCAGACGGAAGCCTACCTGTAGCATGCAAGTGGTGGCTTGGTCAGAGTGGGAAGGCAGCCTGAACAGTCCTGCTACACGCAGAGAGAGAGAACACGGATACTCTTGCTGTTGCTGCACCATTGACTCATGTGGTAAAAATGTGTCTGGAACGACAGTGGATGAGATAACATTCTGAGCAGGTCTGTGAAGCATCCAACCTCTCCCTTATAGAAGCATTGGGGGGGGGGGAATCTGCTTGGTCAAAAGGGTTATTTAGATAATTTGGCAAAAATATGAGGCTTGCTTTTTTTCCCCCTGAGTCATTCTTGTTCGGGTGTGGGTTGAAGTCGAGAGACAGAGGGGAAGTTGGAGTGTATAAATCCGTAGGACCATTTTCAATTAAATGATGCACAAACAGAGGCTGTATCTATAACAAAATTACATTTTCTATCGTTGTTGGAATATCTTGAGTGGTTTGATATTAGACCACTGTCTCCAGGGAGCAAGATATACAAATGAGGTGAAGAAGTCTCTCTCCCTCTCTCTCTCTCTCTCTCTCTCTCTTTGACATCCATGTCCAGTTAACTAAAATGCTTCTACAGCTTATAAGAGGTTTTTTGTTTAGGAGCATCATTTGTTTAGGAGCATCTATCCTGTGGCCACTTTCCTGAAAAGGGAAGGGAAGGGAACCACCCCTGCTGCCTTGTTCCTCCCTTAGGCTGAGGAGAGGACTGGTATGGAGTGTGCGGCTTTGTATACTCTGCTGACAGTGACAGGCACTGCGCTGATAGTGAAGCAGCAAAATAGACGGAGAGTGTGAGGGGAGGGAAAGGCCCTCCTTTCCCCCCTCCCCAATCAAATAGTCACAGTGAGCCTGTTCTTGCCTGGATGCTGTGGCTCCTCCGTGCATCCATGGAAGCTTATGAGGTTCTCAGCTCCCCTGGCCTGTGGAGACCACGCCATGTTCAGAGCAGATTGTTCAGGTGCGAGTAATGTTTATCTATGTTGCCACATTGTTTGTTGCCCTGCGTCTAGGAGACAGAGCAAGGCCACCTGTAAGTAAGGGTAATAATCAGTTAATAAGCCTCAGCCTGCTGGGCCCTCTTCAGAGATAGGAATGTGCCACAGTTGTGTCAAGACCCAAAGGGCTTGCTAGCTTGAACCAGCCCTGCCCATGGATCTATTTTGCTTTGGCAAGAACAGCACCACAGGTGAAAATGTTCGACCGTACCCAAGACCAGAATCCATGCAATGTTTTTTCCCCTCTTTTTCATATTTGCAGTGTAAATATAATTAGATGTCAGAATCATTGTTCTTTTTTCTTTATCTTTTGCTTTTGATGAGAATCTCTTTTCATCGTGCCGTGAAGGCAGTGTTGAATTGTGAGCCCAGCAATTAAATAGGAACAATTGCAATCATTGGTCTAAGTCTCAGTTTTCTGAAAAACTCATTGATAAGTGATTCATCCTCTTGGCAAACCCGTCTGTAGCAGTGTGTAAACAAACGCAGCACCTGCCACCCAGATGTGGGCAAGGATTTGCGTGTGTGTCCCTGACATAAGTAGTCAGCAGCACCTGAGTGTGTCCGTGATGTGGCTCCGTTGTTCCTCATGCAGGAATCGGACTAATATTGAGAGGCCTCCATCATGAACCCAGCAGGCTAGCAGGTGTATCGTCCAACCCAATTGGGATTAATGATTCTCTTACTCTTGTCTGGCTGGGTTGCATTATCCATATCAAGTTTGGCAATGCATAATGTGTAACACTGAAGCACACAGTATGCAGTAGATCTCGGTGATGCTAAAAGAATCACCAGTTCCTGGCATGTGCCGGATACTTACATAACCTGGGGGGTTACCCTGGTTATATTAGATTCAAGTCCAGTCGCACTTTAGGTTGGACCCTTCTATTGCAGACCGACATGACTGCCCTCTTGAAACCCAAGTTCTACTGTACATTTCCCTGTGCTGTCTGCTAATGCATACATGCCTCAGTAAATCTCAGGGATTGTCAGAAAGATGAGATTTCTCCTTGGTCCGTGCTAAGAGTTGCTCGTCTCTGGGAACTGTAGAAAATTGTGTAACATTTCCGACTGTTCCTGTTCCGATTCCTTCCCAGCCCCGCCACGCTGGCTTCTCCATGGGAACATCTGTGGGCATCTGAGAGCGGGATCCCAGGCAGGAGCTGAGGAGGGGGATGGCTCTGCACATTCACGAAGCCTGCCTGTTTCTGCTGCTGATCCCTCACATGGTCACACCAGCTGCCTTCAACCATGAAGACTACCCTGCGGATGAAGGGGACCAGACGGCCAATAACGAAAACAATCTGATCTTTGATGACTACCGAGGGAAAGGTTGTGTGGACGACAGTGGTTTTGTATACAAACTGGGAGAACGGTTTTTCCCAGGGCATTCCAACTGCCCCTGTGTCTGTACTGAGGACGGGCCGGTCTGTGACCAGCCGGAATGTCCCAAAATCCACCCAAAGTGTACTAAAGTAGAACACAATGGATGCTGTCCAGAATGCAAAGAAGTGAAGAATTTTTGTGAATATCAAGAGAAAAGTTACAAGATTTTGGAAGAATTTAAGGTAAGATCAACTCAGCTCATTCTATCTATCTTTACAGAGGTTTATATAAAGAGATATTTAAAAGCACAGATAAACAGTATTAAATGATACTCTCTCAGCTTTAGAGTCAGTGTTTCCCTATCCTGTAGTCTAACCGAGAGTTGTAAAAACAGGCTGATTCCACTCAACACATCTGCAGTGGTTAGTCTGTTAGCTAGTTGATTCCACTCTACACATCTGCAGTGGTTAGTCTGTTAGCTATCAAGGTGGCTAATGCATACTGGCAGGCCCATAGCTACAGGGGACATTAGAGGCAATGTCTCTGAAGAACAAAGTCATGCCTCCTCCCTGAATTCCTAGCATTTAATTAAAAAAACAAGTTTCTGGTCTTTTTCATGGTGGAGATATAAGGGGAAATGTATGAGAAATTTTTGTTCACTTGAAACAGAATGTGGGAGTTTAAATGGCAAGATAGTGGGAGGTCAGTCAGTTACCCTCTTCCTCCTGACTAAATTCATTTTTCTCCTTGAGCCCTTTCCTTCTCTTGCTTGTTTCTCTCCTCTTTGGTGTCCTCAGTAACAAGTGAGGACATTGGTCAGGAAACCAGAGTGAGATCTATATGACTTTTGGGCTTCCTCTCCTGCTTACGTTGGGAGTTTGCCCCAGAGGCCGGGGGGGGGGCAGGAACAAAAAAAGAATTGGCTACGTTCACTGAACTGGATAGCGTTTTTAAGCATTAGTGGTAAACCAGCTTACTGTGGCTTGTGTGTGTGAAAGACTGTGAGCCTCTGAGCAAGTGTGGCATGCCTCTTACTCATCAGCAAGTCTCCCCTGTCAAGTGTCTTACCCACCCCCCTGAAAGAACTGGAGTGGTGCAATGCATTGGGGGGGGGGCAACGTTAAACTCCACAACTTTCCACTCCAGAAAAAGAAGTGCTTTACTGCAAGAGGCCAAAGGGCTGAGGGGCCCTAATATCCAGGCAGTCTTAAGACCCCCCCCCCCTCACTGCAGGGAAACAAGGTCTTTTGGAGGATGTGAGATTCCTTGAATGCCAGGACTGTATATGCTACTCCCTACTCAGTAGCCACACAAATTTACCACAAATAAGGGATAATCCCTAGACAGGGGGAAGTGTCTTACAGTCAGGTTTAATTTAGAAATCTCTAATTGTAGTCATTAAGGCAATTATTACTTGTTATCCCCCCAAAAAACCCAAACCCTCACCCTTCGCTTTCCCAACAGAGCTTTGCACCCCACCCTGTGGCCTTATGCTCTGCAGTCTCTCTTGGGAGAGGAATGTAGGTGCAAGAATATGGCTGTAATGGCACATGACTGTGTTTTTTATGCAGCGTGGAGCTAATTTCCATGTCATTTTTGAATGCTTTCATCCATCAAATAGCCAATCTCTTCAAAGCTGCATAATCATGAAACACAGATAGTATGTCCTGTAGGTCTAGTAGTGTGTGGAAATATTATTAGTAACACTGCTCTTCGGTGTGACGTCACCATGGCATCACTGGACTTCGCCCATGACATCAGGCCCCACCGGACGATGAGGGGGACCTCGAAACACTACCCCCCCTCAGGGTACCCTTCGCCCTAACACTCATAGCTTTGTTAGTGTCAGATTCTGTGTGGAAATATTATTAGTAACACTGCTCTTCGGTGTGACGTCACCATGGCATCACTGGGCCCCGCCCATGACATCAGGCCCCACCGGACAATGAGGGGGACCTCGAAACACTCCCCCCCCTCAGGGTACCCTTCGCCCTCACACTCATAGCTTTGTTAGTGTCAGATTCTGAATTGTCCACCTCACTGGATAGAGGAGGAAGCTCTCCTGTGCTTGTGGGGGGGGCTGCATGTCCACACTCTGCTTTTTTTTCCCCTTGCTTGCCAGTCCAAACATCTGGCTTTTGAAAAACCAGAGTGTTACTGCTTCCCTTTCCTCTGGAGGAGTATAAGCAGCACTTGGACTTTCTGGGATAGGGGTCGACAAAGGCTACTAGAAGCAAAATTGTTGTGCTTCATTGCAGGAGTGGGACTGAGGTGGTTTCATGGGATATTCAAGATGGCAGCTGACCTTAGAAGGGCAGGCACCCGGGAATAATGTGTCTCACAAACTGCCCTGAAGACAAACACAGGTCCTTTCCTCACTAGACCTTCGATCCTGGTTCAACCCTGTCCACGAACTTACATTCCGCACTACACGCAGGTTCACCCCTCTCATTATCTCAGGGTATTTTTGCATTCTGCACGACACTCGAGTTCACCCCTGTGACTATCTCTGGGTTTTTTTTTTGTTTCTGCATTACATTGAAGTCACCCCGGTTTCGCCCCACGCTTGTCCCGGGATAAACGGATGCTGTTATAACCAGGGATGAATGCAAGGAGTATTGTGTTGCGAGCTGAACTCTGATAAAACCAGGGACGAGATCCAAGTGCAGAAAGGACCCTAGTCCAAGTCTGTTTGTTTCCCATAGCCATGGAGGAAAAGCCCATGGGTTAACTGGGGTCTCCTTTGTTGTAAGCACATGAAGTGGCTCTAAGTAATATTCTTAATGCAGGGACGTGCTTGGATCCTACAAAGGCTGCTGTGCGGGTCAAGCAGTCTTCTGTGGTTGAAATCGTCATTCCCTTCCCGAGGGAGTGCCTGGCTGTCTCCCGCTAGGGTGCTTCCAGGCAGTAACAGTCCTCCAAGTACACCCAAGCAAATCTCTTGAGACCTGCTACCTTCAGCACCGAAAAGCCTCGGCAAGTCTGAAAACGGGAGGCTCTGAGATGGAAAAGAATTTGTTTTATTCAGAGGAGGCCAATCATCCATCAAGGGTGAGGGTTTGGGTGCTGTTGTTTTTTAAACGGTGCCCAGCTCTTCGGAATGCCAGAAAGCGGCCCTTCCCGCCCTGCCTTCCAGAGGCATTTAGCTTGCACTATCCGTGCTGAGCCTCTGTGGTCCCCAGAAGACACAACCGCAGGACTTGGAGCGATCACTGGGGGAGGCCTCTCCAGGGGCAGGTTTACCCGCTTCTGTTGTGGTTGTGTGTTGTTGTTGTTTTAAAAAATTAGAATTCTTATAAAGCCGGAGGGGGGTTATACTGGCCGGAAGATCTCTTCACATTATTGACAGAGATCTTCTGCGTGATACCTGGTTTACGCCCCTGTGCACATGTGAGTCTGTCCTCTGTGCATTCTCATGTGTGAACCAGGCGGTCACAGTGGCAAGTTCAGAAGTGACAACTTAGGAGCTTCCTTGCACAGCGGGACGGTGGCGTGGCTGAGGGAATTAAGTTCACACGAGACTGGCTACTTCAGAATCGAGGAGAGTCCAGAGCTCTTCCTCCTGTTGGGACTCCATCGTTGATGGGGAAAGGTAGCGAATAGCATCCCAAGGGTCTGTCTGTGCTCGGACGGACAGAGGTAGACAGCAGCACATCTTGCCCTCATGGAGGCTGGACAAAGAACAGAGAGACAGGCAGGGGAAACACGACACTGCCCCTCCCACTGGATCAGACACCCCCCCCTGGTTCATCACAGTCAGTCTTGTTGACTCAGACTGGCAGCAGCTCTTGAGGGTCTCAGAGAGTCTCAACAAGAGCCAGTTTGGTGCAGTGGTGAAGTGCGCGGACTCTAATCTGGGAGAACCGGGTTTGATTCCCCACTCCTCCACTTGCACCTGGATGGATGACCTTGGGCAAACCATAATTCTAGCACAGCTGTTCTTGAAAAAGAGCAGTTTCTGTCAGAGTTCTCTCAGCCCCGCCTACCTCACAGGGTGTCTGTTGTGGGGAGGGGAAGGGAAAGGAGTTTGTCAGCCACTCTGAGACTCCCTCGGGTAGTCTCTTCTTCTTCTTCTTCTTCCAACTGGAGGGGATTGAACCTGGGACCTTCTGCATGCCAAGCAGGCGCTCTGCCACTGAGCCACAGCCCATCCCAACAACAGAGCATATCTAAGGAGGGATGAAGAGAGTCCTGACCTCTCTGTCTTTCTGCCTCTGTTGTCCCTTCTGACACCTGCCTGTGCTGGTAACTGAAAGGCAACAGTTCCCTCCGTGATAAAAGCTGTGGAAAGTGCTGCTGCCACCAGGGTTCCCTCTAAGCTGAGTCAGTGTGAGCCAGCTCACAGTTTTTTACCCTCCAGCTCACTCATGTCTGTCTCGGCTCAGGAAGGAGGGCTCCAGAGCAACAGAGTTTATGCAGTAGCCAAATCACCCGCTCACCACTTTAATGCCAGGAGCTCACAGAGTAGGATTTTTGCTCGCAAGACTCCACGGCTGAGAGGGAGCACTGGCTGCCACCACCAGCATTTCTATGGAATACACCTGTGATGTCAACATTGTGGGAAGGATCCAGCTCAATAATCCACCGTGATCCTTGTGGGAAGGATCCAGCTCAATAATCCAAGCCCTTTTAAGCCTGCTTCTCCCAATAAAATAGATGAGGCTGGATCATTCCCGTACATGGTGGCCAAGACAGGTGGCCAAGACTGTCTGCGCGCATCAAAAGAGTGCTGGGTGAACCACTGTTATTATTACTGCTGATTTGTCATCGATTGCAGCTGTCCACTTCAATAGCCTGTTACGGCTAGGTTATTTGATAGAGACAAGGATAGTGTGAGACATTTCCTGGCTTTGTTAAGTTTCTTCTGTGTCCGTGTGCTCATCCAGTCCAGCAAATAGACTGGGCTAGATTTTGGCAGGTCCAGATACCAATCCTACTTAGCCATCAACCACTGCAGCACAATCAGTCTTCACCAATGCTCCCTCTAGGCTGTGGAGTCTGGTGAGCAAAAATTCTACTTTGTGAGCTACTGGCATTAAAGTTGTAAGTGAGAGATTTGGCTACGACATAAATTAGTTTGCTCTGGAGCCATCCTTCCTGAGCTAAGGCAAAAATGTGTGAGCTGGAGGCTAAAAAACTGTGAGCTAACTCACACTAATTCAGCTTGGAGGGAACACTGACCTCCACTAACATTTTTGAAAAGATGCTGGTAAGGAAAGATGGAATGTGTGAAGTATAATCA